TAAGTTTAATGCCTAAATTCAACCTTAAAATGAAAAAAAAAAATCCTGATTAAAAGTATAAGATTTGCTTTGAAGTATGCTTTAGATTTTGTCTGTTAACTGCTAGAGTCATAGGTCTCATTTCTTAAAATTAAGTGACTGGTAGGGAAAGACCCTACCAAAAAAAAAAAAGGATATTTGAGAAGATGAAAATCAAAGTACTCCAAACCTCCAAATCCTTTTAAAATACTATCATAGGCATATTCCTAGGTGGAAAAGCTTTTCTTGTCTAAAGTAGCTGTTTTTGCTGTGCCTGAGGAAATTGTCACTGGCTGAGGAGGAAGGCAATAATTCCCTTATGCCCCACCCTTCATTGTTACTTAGGCAAAAATCCAACCCTGATTTGGATACTGAAGGTTGAGTGCAAAATTAGACTACCTGGAAGTGAAAATTTGGCCACAAAAATAATTACAGGCATCTCTTGATATTTATATACAAGTACTCACCCTTTTTCACAGGGGATATGTTCTAACACCCTCAATGAATGTCTGAAAATACAGATAATACCAAACCCTATAATTTCATGCCTTTTTTTAAATCCTGACTTACCATGCACTGTGGCTGTAAATTGTGCAATTTGAATTGTATCACAAAACTAGCATGAATTTCTTTTTCCTTCTTTACAATTTCACAAATAGAAGATTGATTCTTACCATAGATCTTAGTGACCTCAACATACAATTTTTCTAACCTTATAAAGAACTCTTTCAACTTTTCACTTAAAGGGAGCACTATATAGCTTCTCTTTGGCATATCTAAATTGCCAGCCATCACTATTTTTGCACTTTTGGACCATCATTGAACATAATAACTGTGATACTGCAACAGTTGATCTGATAACCAAGATGGCTACTAATAGGTAAAGCATAAAACATGGATATGCTGAACACATATTGTCTGAATTGTCCCTTCCTGGACAATTCAGAGTGGCACAATGAGAGATTTTTAAAGCGACTCAAAACAGCATGTAATTTAAAATTTACAATGTATTTATTTCTGGTATTTTCCATTTAAAACTTTCAACCATGGTTGATGGTGAGTAGTAATGGAAACTGTGGAAAACAAAATAACGGATAAACAGGGAAAAAAAACTGTAGTAAAAAATATGGAAATTATTTGTAAAATGGAGTGTGCTCAATTATACAAGGAAAATCATAAAATTAAACTAGGCTCAGTTTGCTGGTGTGATTATATATTTCAATGTGTTATGCTATAGTTTGGATCTGGGAGGTTTACCCAAAAGCCATGGTAAAAGCCTGAATCCCAGGATGATGATATTGGAAGATGGTGGCACCTTTAAGAGGTGAGGCTTATGGGGAAATCTTTAGGTCATTGCAGGCGTGGGAAATGTAAGACCTTGGACCTCCAGGCCATGAGGTAAGTAGTTTTGATTCACCACAAACTCTTGTCCTGATGTGATACCTCATCACAGGCCCAAAAGCAATGGAGTCAACTGATCATGGATTAGTCCTTCCAAAACCATGAATCAAAATGAACCTTTATGAGGTGATTATCTCAGGTATTTTAATAGTGACAGAAATCTAACACATGTTGTTTATGCAGCTATGTAAGATAGTTTGCTGGTTTGCTTAATATTATTCTGAATCCAGTGCTATTCCATTCTATAGGAAATTGACATGGTGGAAATTCCTTGACACAATACAGAGATTATAGATAATAGGACTGTTGAAATAAGATACCTTGTCAAAGGGTGAAAAGGAAGCAAAAGCTACAGAAATTGGAATTCCCTTGTCCAGACATCAACCCTTAGCCTATCTCTACTGACATTTTCAGGTTGTTCATTCTAATGGTACCACACCAAAAGAGACTATACAATGGAGTGTGTATTTTATTAACCTAATCTATTTGCAGTACAAGATGATATCATGATTCTATCACCTACAGGCCTTTGTATTTCCATTCCCTTTGGCTAAAATGCCTTTTCCAAACTCCTTCCCATTTCTAACCTTCTATTCATATTAAAACTCAAATCAGATTGTCACCCCCCCCCCCAAAAAAAGTCTCAACTTTCTAGATCTGTGATGTCCAATATGATAGCCATCAGCCAAATATAGCTATTGAGTACTTGAAATGCAGCTAGTGTGAATTGAGATGTATTGTAAATTATAAAATACACACCATATTCAAAAGGCTTACTATGAAAAAAAGAATGTAAAATATCTTTTTACATTTTTAGATAGGTTAAATGCAAAATAACATTTTGCATGCATTTACTGGATTAAATAAAAGATTACTGAAATTAGTTTTATCATTAAAATATCTATAAGAAAATTCAAAATTATATGTACCTTGTGGTTTATTTCAACTGGATTTAAGACTATATAAGGAGGATCTCCTTTCTTCACTTTCCTATAATTATTTCTTTACTACTATGTTTTATATTTTAAAGTTGCATATTGTCTCTTTTACAAACAAGGGGCTGTCTTGATATACATGGTAATTTCAGAAGAGTGCTAAAATATATGCAATGAATTCTCATTATTTTTAGACTCCATATTTGGGAACTTACATACACAATAAATGTACTTGTAGTCCTCCAAATCAATAGTTGTGATTTCTAGGACATTTGTGAACATAACACAGAGATTTGAGTCATGCATGTTTCCTAAAAAGGTCAAACACAGCAGTGCTCTACTTTCTTGTTTCAACCATTGAATTGTAAACTAGTGTTCTTTTTCTTTTCAGTCTATTTTCTGCCTTGTCCCCTTCCCATTTTTATGCCTTTTGTTGTGATTTCACTGCTTAAAATGGCCACCAAGCATCAAACTGAAGACCTGTTTATGTCCCTAAGCATAGAAAGGCCTTACAAAGAAAATGTGTGTAGATAAGCTACTTTCAGGAATGAAATACAAGGATGATGGCTATGAATTAAATATTAAAGAATCAACAATGTATGTTTAGTATTTTTAAATAGAAACATACATACAACAAGATCTCTCCATGACCAATTAATGAAAATATGACCAGAGGCTATCAGGAAACTAACACTATATTTCCCCTATGAACAATGGTTCAATGTTTGTTAATTCTCTGTTCCAGCGACTTCAGGAGAACAAACTGAATTTGTTGAACGAATGAAGCTCAATCAATGAAATTCCAAATTCATTTTTTATGAGAATACAATATACAGTGGCAGTTAGAATACTGATTCTAGAGCCAAACTGCCCAGATTTCAATCTTGATTCTCTAATTTGCTACCTGTGTGATCTGGGGCAAATTACTTTTTTCTGTCTTTTTCTGTAATTCAAAAACTAGATAAATATGAGTTGTTGATGATTGCCAAGGAACTAGGTGCAGAGCGTGGATAAAGTTTTTGATTATAGTGGTGATTATATAACTGCTTTTGTTTTCAAAACTTATAGAAAAGTCAAATTTACCTTATAGAAACAGTAACTTAAACCTGAGGTTAAAAAGTAGGAGTCAAGCATTCCACTTTACATGTCTATTATACCACCTGCCACATTATCTCATAATTACCTGTATGCAAGTCTGTCTGCATGGCTACACTAAGGGTCCCTTCAAGGGTAGAAAATAGTCAAATTCATTTTGGCATCCCTGGGATTCTGTAACATCATTTGACACATAGCAGGTACTCAATAACTTTTTCAGTGTCAAAAAGGGGGGAAAAAAAAGTAGGAGTCAAGTTCAAAAATTCAAATGAAACTTTAATATGCCCCCAACGAAACTTTAATATGCCATTTGCCTCTATAAATACTCTTTAAATATTACTAGTCATTCTAATTACAACAGGGAAAGTTAGATGGTGTAAGATAAAGCAAAGTGGACTCACAAACTCTGGTTCATATCTCGTTCTTTTCATATTAGCAAGAAGCTGAGTTGTTTGTGGGTGGTTACTTGCTTATTGTAATGGTTAAATCAGACATCACATATAAAATATATGAGCAGCCTTGAGACATACAGAAATTGGAGAAATGGGATTACTCATGAGACAGTAATACCAAATCACAGGAGCACATGAAATGGGATGTAAAGTGGAAAGTAAGGTTGGAAGAGAGGTGTTGGGTTGTAAAATGGAACTGTGAAAAGAAGAGCATATCTCTTAAGAAACTTTATTTAATCCTATTCAAGTTTACCGGCTCCATGTTGATTTTGAAAACAATCCAATGGTTCAGTGGTAATACGAATAAAACCCAAATTCTAGGGAATGTTAACGCCAAAAGCAAAGAAGGCCACTGCCTTCCTCAACTCCATTAACAGTCACGGGTATTAGGACATTTCAATGCTGCTGTACCTCGCAGGTGCTTTCTGAGTTCCCACCCGCTGAGTGACTGATGACTCTGGCGGGGTACCCGGTAGCAGTGGCCAACAAAATCTCACCAAGGGATGGCTAGGGTTCCACGCGGAACCCACAACAAGGAGCACAATAATAAATTACTGCACTTAGGTTCCTCTTGGAGGAGCAAGCATGGGTTCCAACTCGAAGGAGGCCAGAAAACTCAACCAGAAGCTCGAACCCAAAGTTCCCTCCAAAGCCACGAGGGACACTCAGGGAATTCACGTGCCTCGCGAGTTCTGAAGACCATCACGTGACAAAAGCCACGCACCTGAAAGCAGGGGCAACCCGGCTCTTGGCTAGGTTCCCGTTAATGTCGACTGAAACCCTATCTAAAGTTGGAGGGATCAACCAGCCTTGCCAGCGAGTTACAGTCAGCAACCACACTCCCCAAAGCGCTTTCCACGCCGGAAGTGCACTAATCCGCAGCACGTGGGGTTGCCAGAGCGCGCTTCACGTGACTGGGAGGGGCCTCGGGAACCTGGTAGCCAATGGTAGCCGTGAGGGGCGGTGCCTGTGACGCGCCGGGGCCTATCCCGGAAGTGGGGCTGAGGTGGGGGCGGGAAAGGGCGGGGAAGCCGGGGTGTGGAAAGTGTGGCGGCCCCGCCCCGTCTCTTGGAACTGCTGCGGCCGCCACCGCCGCCGCCGCAGCTGCAGGGAGCCGGCGCGGGTACGCAGACGATAGGCGTTCTGTGCCCGCTGAAAGGTGAAGACCTGACCTGAGGAAGATCTGGTGGAACTGGAACTGGAGCAAGCAGGGTTGGGGTATGCGGCCAGAGACGAGTCCTTACTCGGGAAGGGGGAAAGATGGATGGGAGAAGGGAGAAGAGCTCGCGTCCCGCCGGAGCTCAGGCCCTTGCGGAGCCCGGCCGAGCCCGGCCAGGGATGCCAGCATAATAGGGGGCGCTTGAGCGGTCGGGGCGGCGGCGCTGCGGGTAGAGGGCGGAGTTTGCGCCCGTTGCCCGAGGTCCAGGTGCTGCCGGCCAGCTCCTTTTATTCCCTCATCATTAGTGGGGATGTGCGGCCTGGGCCCGGTCCCCGATGTGGGATCTGAGCGGCGGCAGACGGCCGAGGAGCGCGGCGCAGGACGGTCGCTGGGCTGTTTATGCTGGGGGGGTGGGGGTGGGTGTAACTGGGGAACGAGACCTACTTCCCCCAGCGCAGCGCGGGTGAGCGCGGGAGACCAGTATGTCCCACCCCCCTTAAGTTCTTCTGAAGCTGCCTTCCCCACGTCCTCACCAATGGCTGGAAAAGTTTGTAGAGGCCGAAATCAGAAAGTGCCCATTAGATTTGAGTGGGTATCTTATAAATGCTGAAATAACGGACCCAAAATGCTTGGCATCTAACCTACCCGAAATGAAACATTTCCCTGCCTGCATGCCGGTTGTTAAAAAATGCACTCCAACTTTTTTGCGTAGGTTCCTCGGAAAAACTAGCATTTCCCCAGCCCACCATGGCCGACGAAATTGATTTCACTACCGGAGATGCTGGGGCTTCCAGCACTTATCCTATGCAGTGCTCGGCCCTGCGCAAAAACGGCTTTGTGGTGCTCAAAGGACGACCATGCAAAATAGTGGAGATGTCAACTTCCAAAACTGGAAAGCACGGTCATGCCAAGGTAAGTGCCCTTCCAAGTCATTCTTTGGCTTCTGCATTGAGATTTTGATCATTTACATTCCATTACAGATAATGAGTATCTATACTTAAAATTTTTTAGTAAAGACATTTTTTTTTTCCTTTCCTCAGTTATTGAGTGATCAGCTATTGCTTTGAATGCTTAAAGATAGTATTCTCTTCCTGGGCCCTTATAATGTTTCATTAACTGGGAACTGAAACTTTCCTGAATCCTAGTGACCTCGAAGATCTATTCAGTTTACAGTTGAGAAAACCTTTACTAACAGTTCTAAGAAACCTATTTTCAGTCTTCTTATGTATTCTTATAATTGAACTACTGGGATTATAAACTATATTGAGTCTTGACATTTTATGATTCTGTTTGGTTGTTCACTGCATTTCAATTCTATGGCCACTACATTTTTTTAAGAAAGTAAAATTAGATGACCTTGGAAGGAGGAGAAAGAATCTGTCATAATCAGCATTGGTATTGTGTGCTCTTGGGTATGTACTGAGTGATATACTTGGCAGAGATTAAGTAGGTTTCCTGTTCTCTATTAGGTACACCTTGTTGGAATTGATATTTTCACAGGCAAAAAATATGAAGATATTTGCCCTTCTACTCATAACATGGATGTTCCAAATATTAAGAGAAATGATTATCAAGTAAGTACTAATTTCCTTTAGAATGTTGATTCTTAAAAGTACAAATATTTTCTTCTAGCAGTAGTAATCTGACAAAACCCAACAGTAATTTTGAAGGTTTTCTTAATCAATTTTTAGGCACCACCTGTCTTACGAATTGGAGAAACAGATAGTGAGGTTTTTTGTTTTGTTCTTTTCCTAGCATTCCTGTATTTTTAAAAAGTTGAGCACATCTCAGACCAAGTGACTGCATATTTTGACTAAGTCCAGTATTTGGTAAAATTACTGTGTTCTCTATTGTAAAATATACCAAATTTAGATAACTCCCTCCTGAGTGTTTTATTTTTTTCCCCCTAATCAGAGCTAAGACTTCCAAGAAACTATTGGATTTCATGTTCCTACCAACCAAGTTTTTTAATTAATAATAGTAAATCAGAGTTTGGTATTCTTAAGTAAGGAAATAAGTTGAAAAGTATAAATATAAAAAGTATATGCTCACTGAAGATGGTAAAGAAAATATAAAAGCTGTGTAATTGGTTTATTTATATACATTGATGATGCTATGACCTTTTCTTAAATTAATAGATTTTAATTACAATTATACTTTTAGATAGGTTGTGTTTGTTAATAACATTTTGTTGTTCAAGATATTGATGGTAACCAAATAACTAATATCATAGAATGTGGAAGCTCAGATTAATCATAAGTAATGCTATACTTGGAAGTATTCAATTTCTATATCAAGCATATCAGAAATTCACCATATCAAACTCTTTTCTGTTAATTTTATATAGTGAGAAATACAAGAGTGGCACTTGTATTATTCAACTTAGACTGAATCCTTTCTATACCTTTCATTGTATTACATAAATTTTAAAAGAATATTGCTATCATCTGGTATTTACCCAATGATTTTCTTTTATTCCATCAATATGCAAACATAGTTTTATGTAGTTTTAGTGTAGTAACAGTTATATATTTTTACTTTACTTTCTAGGTTGCTTTGGAGTCATTGTAAAAACTTGAATTGTCTTAATGTTAACAGAAAGTTAGGTTTGTTTTTTTTTGCGGGGGGTGGATTTTGAGTCAAATAGATCTGGGTTTGGATCTAGTTTGGCCTCTTTCTAATTATATGGATTTTGGACAAGTTATGCAACCCCTCTGAACATTAGTCTCCCAGTCTACAAAACAAGAATGATGTGAGGATTAAATAATTAAACGTACCCCACGAGTAGATGAGTACAAAGAAGCAGTTCTGTTTGGCTCCCCTTTCCTATATAAAAACTCTACTTAATAATGTCATTACTGTTGGAACACTGAATTTAGATGTGGTACATAATTGCTCAATAAAAAATCATCAAGTGTGTGTATTTATTGTGTCAGTGGAGAGAGGGTAACAGCAGAATAAGAAAAATAAGGCTTATCATATAATTTTCTTTTGCCCTAAGTGTGAATACTTTGAATATTCAGTATGCATTATATTCAGTAATATTCATTCAGCATCAAATCCTCATACCTGTTGCATGTGTCAGAAAGATAGTATCAGTAGTTCACATAATTACTACTTTGATCAAGTTAGCCAGTCATTGATTGGAGTTCACAATTTAACATAGAGGAAAATTTTAATCTGGATTTTATTTTGATGCATAATGAGGCCCAGACTGGGGTTCAGCAGATGAACTGAAGTGAGGCCTTGGGTGTAAAAGTTTAAATAAAGACAAGTCTACTAGGGCAAAGGGGGAAAAATCAGTAACTTTTTCACTTAAAATTTTGATATTTTGGGGCTGTGGCTGTGGCTTAGTGGTGGAGCACGTGCCTCGCACTTGTGAGGCACTGGGTTTGAATCTCAGCAGTACATAAAAAGAAATAAAGATATTGTGTCCATCTGCAACTAAAAAATTTTGTTCATCATGTCACTTTTGCATTCTAATTTTTTAAAAGTACTGTACTAAAATATTTGATCACTGAGGGTTTATTTTTTTAGGGGGATCCTTTCTTAATTTTGCAGCCAAGACAAGTGTTTCAGTCCAACTTAATTCCAGCCATTAGTATATAATTATGTGGGAGAGTGGATTAAAGGTTGATAAAAGCTAGATAGTTTGGGTATAGATTCCTACTTTGGCACTTTTTGGCTGTGTGACCTTGGCTGGCAAGTTACTTAACCTCTTGTCTCCATTTCTTTACATATAAAATGGGGTATGAATGATAAACTTCTCATGGAATCATTTTAAGGCTTCATTAGTTAATAGGACATTGCATGGCATAGTAAATACTCAGTGCCCACATCTTCTCATTATCCAGCCAACATTATGGGACACTTATTTCTGTTCTTTTAAAAAAGTTCTGTGCTTACAGTTTTATTTATTGTGCTATGGAGAAAGTCACTTATCTATCCACATGCCTTAAGTAAATTCCTACTTTTTTTTTTTTTTTTTTATCATTTGGCTATGTTTAGTCCTTTATATTTCCTGAATTCAGTATTTTGAGTGTCAATTTGATAGCCAGCTAAAGTGAAATATGTATATCTGATCATTATAAGAATTTTTAAAAAATATTTATTTTTTAGGTGTAGATGGACACAACACAGTGCCTTTATTTTTATATGGTGCTGAGGTTCGAACCTGGGTCCTCCCCGGGCAAGGCGAGCGCTCTACCGCTGAGCCACAATCCCAGCCCTGATCATTATAATAATTAAAAATAAATATTCAGGGGCTGGAGTTGTGGCTCAGCGGTAGAGTGCTCTCCTGGCACTTGTGGGGCCTTGGGTTTGATCCTCAGCACCACATTATAAACCAATCAATCAATCAATCAATAAAATAAAGGTATTGTGTCCAACTATAACTGAAAAATACATTTTTTTAAAAAGTAAATGTTTAAGAAAAGAAACATTTGTAATTTTAACTTTGTGTATTTTTAATGTAAGTTCAGAATGAAAGAAATATTATCTCCTCAATTCCAAAATCAGCTTGGATTAGATGGCTAACTTCTATTACTTCTCCCAAAAGTAGTTATGGCCATTTGGAGCTCAGTGATGGTGTAAAATACAAATACATTCAGATGCCTTTGGAAATCTCTAAATTGATAAATCTAGAAATGCTCTTTCAGACTTCATGACTCCCCTGGGTTTTTTGGGGGGAGGTGGGTACTGGGATTGAACTCAAGAGCTGAGCCACATTCCCAGCCCTATTTTGTATTTTATTTGGAGACAGGGTCTCACTGAGTTGCTTAGTGCTTCACTATTGCTGAGGCTGGCTATGAACTCGCAATCCTCGTACCTCAGCCTCCTGAGCTGCTGGGATTACAGGTGTGCGCCACCATGCCTGGCTCTTGAATGTTTTTTAGAAAGTTCTGTGATGCTATGCATCCCACCCAAATTAAATGCTTTATGTATATTCACAGAAGTTTTATGTCATTCAAAGATTATTTTCCAGAAAGAAAACAAGTACAGGACACATAAAGTATATATTGTAGACTTTTGGATTATTGGTAAATTGCCAAAATGATGACTATTAAGTCCAAATAATAAATGATTTATCTTTTGAATGTTGAAATATGTGAGTTGAATTTTTTTTGTTGCAACTTAAAACACTAATGACGATAATAATGCTATGAATTTCCCTGAACTTAAAATCTTTTTATAATTTTAGCATGCTCTGTGGATCATTGTGTTCCCTCATGGAAGCCAGTCTTTCTTTGGGAGTAGAACACCTCAAAGCCAGTAGAATCCAGTATTGAAAAGACAAGAAGCAAATAATTTGCTATAGTATCATTAAGGGTAATAGTGAGAAGTACTACCCTCTTTGGTTTTTAGACTTGTGTATTCTACTTTTGGGAAAAATAACTCCATATATGTTGTAACCTACTACAAAACAGCCCTAGACCCACAAAGTATTACCCAGCTGGTGATGTACATGAATCTTCAATAGGTCAAAGCACATAGTTTTGGAATGATGGAGTTCATGAACCAGTGATTTCTTTGGGTATCTTCCCATTGTCTCATTTTGCCTGTAAAATGAGATTTTTTTTTAGTTGGAATTTATGTCATGTGAAATATTATGACAAGAATGAAGCATGTGGTAAATCCAGATGGGATTTTAGCAGGAGCACTACATGTAGGAAAGGCAAACCCATAAGAGTCTATTGCAGTAAGTCAAATCACTGCCTCTACCATGAAAGAAGGGATACAGTGTTATCAGATAGATAGCTGTTCCCTTTGGGAAATTGTGTCAGGGATCCTGTGCTGGTCTCTTCTGTGAGGTTCTCAGTAGGGGCTATTGTCAGATCAGAGTTAGTGGGAGAACTCCTGTGTCATTGAGCCCATTGAACAAGGACTGGAACAAGGTACCAAAAAGAAGCTGAATATCATTCACAGAACCCGCTTTTCTACCTAATTATTTACAACCTATTTTATAGCAGGTGCCCTTTGGTGAGCATTCATGGGATCTGGTCTTTAATTTTTATGGAAAGGTCCTTATTATCAGCAGTTTTCCTATCTTGTTCTTTCAGTGTCTTTGACCTTGCAGCCCAGCTCTTAACTCTGGCCCATAATCAGTATAAATCCAACCTCTAGTTCTCTGTTCTCCCACATTTAGTGGCCCTATCCCTTACCACTGCTCAGGGCCACGTCCAAATGGTGCATTATACTATGCATTAACACCTAGAAATTATTAAATTGTTTTTGTTTCATGGTCAACTGATTATAGGGAATTTCCCATCAAGCTATTGGGATGAGATGAAAGGGAAGAAGTATCAGTGTGAGATAAGAAGGTGCTTTCTGCATCCGAGCAACTTATACAGCTTGTTTGTTGATCTCATATATGCTACTTCCTCTTAGTGATGAGTGCTACTGTGCATATCCAGCTTCATGACTTGGGTCAGTTGATGGTGGTGTCATTTGCTTAGGTGATATAATGGTAATGTTCAAGAATTCATTCTCTACCAGGAACCACTAACTGTGAGGAGGAGCTTGAAAGTGCTAGGAAAAAGAAGGAAGAAGTTGAAAGAAATAGGTCTTACCTAAACAAGTCTGTTTTAAAATAGATTGAAAAGCAGAATTCACAGATTAAAGCTAACAAAGCACTTGTAATGATGCTATATCTTCTCCAGCCTTCTGCTGCATACCAATAATACAAATGCAGGCAGAAAAAGTTTCCCTTTAATTCCTCCCTTTCAGTGTTCTTATTTATCCTGGCTATGTCATGGACAGAATCTATAATGACTAATTCTCCCTACACCCTTCCTTTTAGTTCATCCTTTGCTTCTTTAACTTATTGTGCCTCCCGACATTTAGTGGTGCTAAACATATAGTGCCCTTTATAGAATTCTTATATGCCATGGCATTTTTCCATCTTTTTATTTTGGAAATTTTCAAAGTATCAAAATCCTGTATACAGTGCATCATCCAGCTTCAACAATTACAATACATCTTGACAATCTTGTTTCATCTATACCCCACTGTTTTAGTCAGCTTTTTCACTGCTGTGACTAGAGGACCCAACCAGAACAATTGTAGAGGAGGAAAAGTTTATTTGCAGGCTCAGGTTTCAGAGGTCTAAGTCCATAGAAGGCTGGCTCCATTCCTTGGGGTTTGAGGTTAGACTGAACATCATGGCAGATGTTCAGCAAGCAGCTCACATCATGATCAGAAAGCAGAGTGTCTATACTCTCCAGATACAAAATATATACCCCAAACCGCGTCCCAATTCCCACCTCCTCCAGCCACACCCTACCACATCAGTTACCACTCACTCAGTCCCTATCAGGGGATTAAATCACTGATTGGGTTTAGACTCTTTCAACCCAAACATTTCTCCTGTGAAACTTCTTGAATTGTCTCACACATCAGCTTTTGGGAGACACCTCACATTTAAACCATAACACCTACATCTATTTTTTATTCTTGTAATTTCTGCCTTTTCATTATTTTGAAGCTAATTCCAGACATTTTCATTTTATCCACAAATGATAAAGCAAAAAACAAAACATATCACACCTAAAACTTATTAATTACTTAGTAGTATCAAATATATCCCATCAGTGGTGGTTATTGTTTTGTTTTATAGTTTATCTGAGTCAGGACCTAAATTAGGTCCATAAAATGAGATTGGCTTATATATCTGTTAATGCTATTTTAATCTATAGCTTCTCTCTCATACATGTACTTGAATTCTCTCTTTCTCCAATTTTTTGTTGAAGAGACTGGGTCATTTGTTCTGCAGACTTTGTCACAGTCTGGGTTTTGCTAATTGCATTTTCTTGTTTAATGTGTTCCTCTGTCCTTAGTATTTCCTGAAGCTTTGGTAGTAAGATGAAGAGATGTGATCAGATTCAGTTTAGCTTTTTCTTTACTTCCTCTTCCTGCATTTTTAAAGAAGACTACTCTGAAGGTGATAATTCTCTGCAAATTCAAATTTTTTCAGGACAATTAGCAAATTTGAATATGGATTATATATAAGATAATAGGTTATCAATATTAAATTTCCTGATTTTGAAAAATAAACTTTATGTATTTAGTACTGAAAAGTCAGGATCTGTGAAAATTATTCTCAAGTGATTAAGTAAAAATAAGACTGTATGATATTTTATGTTTTACATATACAAAGAGAAAGTGCACATGTGGATAAATGTTAACCATAGGCGAATCTAGGGTAAAGAAATGGGATTTTATTGAATTCTTTTTGCAACTTTTCTATATATAATTTTTTTAAGATTCTTAATAATTTAAATGATCAAATAATTTATTTTCATTATTTTGTTTTTCTGCAGCTTAGTTTTGTTTTTGAAAACTTGCAATTTTATTTCATATCGCAATTTACTTTAATAAATGTTTAATGTTTATACATTGTTTTACTAGATATTTTGCACTTTTACATTTGAAGTGCTTTCTATATTTTACCCCACAGTTTATTTTACGAATTCCTAACTCTTAAAAAATGCCAGTTTATAATTACCAAAATACTAGTATTATTTGGTTCCTCTGTGTCAGTCACTAGTTGCAATAGCAACCTTTAACTTTGAAGTAGTTCGAGTTCCACTTTAGCAAATTGCTGAAAGAGCAGAAATGAAAGATCTGCCTTGTAAGCATGTGGTTAATTGTTTAAACATTATCCTTCTTACCTCAACCTCTTTGTTCTTCACTCCTTTCCAACTACCTCACAAATGTTTGAGTAACTAAGAAGTTAATTAAAAGTGTTAGCTGGGTGCAGTGATGCATTTCTATAATCCCAGTTACTGGGAGACTGAGCAGGGGGATCAAGAGTTTGAGGCCAGCCTGGACAAGTCTGTGAGACCCTGTCTCAAAAGAAAATGTTTTATTGTTGCTCTGTAGGATGGCTTTTTTGATTTTGAGAATTTAGATATATTTGCAAACTCAACCTCTCCCATGATAAGTGGAGTTTCTGTGGAATGTCACTGCAGATTTGGTAAATGGTGTACATGGAGGAGAGCTTAGAAACTTGGTCCATGTGGTATGCCTGGGTTATATCACAGTGGTTAAAGGGAATCAAGGACCACATCTTTGACTCCTTTGGTATGTGTTAGCAGCTAGTCTTCTGGATGATTGGTCTTTTATGAAGTCGTTAGAATTCTAGGCACACTGATGGTGCATATGCTTTTAGAATAAGTGAGTAGGGACTGGCTGTCTCCTCATTTCAGTAATAAAAGAAATTCAATTATAGCAAAACTGTGTTTTTTTAATATTAGGTTAATAACTGGATTTGCTTCATTAATGTCAATAAGCTAGTGTTTGTTTTTAATCTGTTATTAGTAGTGAACTAGAGATAAAAAATTGTTAACTTTGGTTGTAGTCAAATTATAATAGAATTTTGTTTGTAGTAGTGCAAAATTGAAAATAATTTGATTGCCCAGTAATGGAAAAACAGTTAATTCAGTAACAAGCATATCCATGCACTTGTGTAATGGTTAGATAGATTAAGGTAAGTCTATATTTTCTAATAGAAATCTAAGGCCTGAAAAACAGCTTGCTGAAAAATACTGATCCCATTTTTTTTTTTTTTTTGAAAAGCAACCATATTTGTGTTGTATACTTAAATGTAAATGCTTCAGAATACACTGTAAAAGCAGTCTAAACTGCTGAATAATACAGAGATTGGGCAGGAAGAGTACAGGAAGGAATGAATTTACTGTATTTGAGTCTGTATTTTATACTTTGGTGCTTTAGCAGTTTTAAACACCAACAATATATTAATGTATTACATATATTTATATAAATTAATGTGGATTGCAGTTTAACTGTGTAACATTACAAAGGGGTGGATATAATCTAATTAGTATAAATTTTATAATTTCTTCTAATAGCTGATATGCATTCAGGATGGTTACCTTTCCCTGCTGACAGAAACTGGTGAAGTTCGTGAGGATCTTAAACTGCCAGAAGGTGAACTAGGCAAAGAAATAGAAGGAAAGTACAATGCAGGTGAAGATGTGCAGGTAAAGACCTAGGAGAAGATTGTGTTTTTTAAACAATTTTATAAAAACTTTGGCCTAAATTATGAAGTGTTGAAATATTTATAGTTCTTTTTTTCCCTATTCCTTGGAGTGTCTTGCAAAACCCCAGTCTGAGAAATTCTACTTCAGGAAGCTATAAAGAAAGTAGATGATTGGGGAGGGGGGTTGTTACCCCTTTCCAAAGTCCATATACACAAAATATCTGCAAATACACAGTATATGGTAAATTAAATATATCTTGTATATGTATTGCCTTCTGGGTAACTTTTGCCTGCATTTTTTTTCCTTCTAGGTGTCTGTCATGTGTGCAATGAGTGAAGAATATGCTGTAGCCATAAAGCCCTGCAAATAAATGGGGACATAAGGCATGAGCAAACAGTTTAGGTCTGGATCAACTGCAGATCTAAAGTTTGGTTCTAAGTTGTCACCAAAGCTATGGCCTTCATAAGCAACCTCATTTTTGTTTTTTTTAACTGTTTTGAAATTGTGCTGGTTCATTTTGCTGGTAGTTGGTAACTTAACCAAAAAAAAAAAAAATCAAGATATATAATTCTTTTTTTTTTTTTAATTTTGTGTCTTTCCTATAACATTCCTGTGGTTTTCAGTATGTGAGTCCAAGAAACATAAAGCTTCAGCAAATGTGATTTGTCTGAGCAAATCATTCCTTAATTTTAATAAAATGATAAGTTAAACCAGGGTTTTAAAAGATAATGTAGCATTTGGTGGTATTGAAATACCACGTTTAAGTTGAATTGCTTTGCATTAATTTCAAACTAATGTCATAGAATACATAAATTATGGTTTAAAATTGTCAGTTTTAGCCTGTGTATGGCAAATACATCTTTAAACAAAAATCATGTTATTAAAAAGCGTCAGTTACCTTGGTGGTTGTGTGGAATGATATACATTACCTCGATCATACCATTCTTTGCCACATTGTTGGTAGACTTACACCTTACATGGTGGTTTTAGTACTTGCTTGTCATTGACAGAGGGACATTGAGCTGTTGGATGAAAATGAGCATGTTAGACTGTAAAGAAGAAAAAAAGGACAGTGGCAAAGGAGGTTGGTTAACTCTAGGTTTTGACTTGAGACCTTTGTAATCAGCATAAAAAATAGAAAGTAGCTTTTTAGTTATATTTTTGCTTTTAACTTTTGTCCCCCTTAACCCCCTGGCACTGAAAGGACTGACCTGCTTTACAGGACACTATGCAGTGCTTTTTTTGCAACCATGTTGAATAAGTGTTGGCATTTATCAGTAATTGCTCCTTTTCAACCATTTTAAAGTATTTTTTTGACCTTAAAATATTACTTAGACTAAAACTGGGAATTCTTAAATTGAGTTGGAATTCTTAACTTTATATTGATTTGTTAAATTTATGCATATTTTTTCTAAAGTGAAATGAAAGTCAATCATGGAAGAAATGTTACTTTATTTAAAATTATTATTTAACTTATTTTAAGTTTATGTATTTTTTCTGTTTTCTGTCTTAATTCAGTACTGATGTAAAATAGAACTAGGAAAGAATTATATAAGCCAAATTATTTTTTAAAGAAGTGTTTCAAGTGACATAACTGCACTTCCATTTTTTTTAGATCATTCTGTCACACACACACACACACACATATGTGTGTATCACACACACAGGAGTATATGTACTCATTCCAAATTTACTTGTTCCAAAATAAGACATCATTATAGAGTTTGTGAAGACCTTTAACTCAATAGTAATGATTATATTGGAGTGGAAATCATTTATCTCAGTAATGCCTTGATTCTCTAAGACAAGTTCTGAGATCTCTCCCATCATGCCTTGACCTCGAAGGGCTTTGTTCCTATCATCTAAAGAAAAATATATATGATGATGTAACTGATCTAATCAGTGACTAGAAAGAGTGTTAGGAACATAAGATCTCCAAATTTTAGTTGCTTAATTTGTACACACTTTAAAATCTTGTCTTGGCCTCAGCAAACCCAGTTAGACAAGAAGCAAGATACTTTTAAGAGAAGTGCAAGGAAGAGGATTCTAAAGCACAAGAAATATTGAGGTGTTATAGTAATTGATTTTAGTATGACATTAGCTTTTGCCCATCCAAAGCACAATTAGGAATTAGGCTAAATTCTTTCCAGTATGCTATTTAAGTATCTACTACATATTGCTCTAGTTTTTGTAGTTCTATAATCTCTAATGTGTATCTTACTTGCTACTGGTTGACATTACCCACAGGAATTCCAGAAAGTTATTAATCTGTGCTGCTTGCTGGTCATTCATCTGGTCCCACTTAGCCATACTAGAGTTCTGATTTAGTATTAGTTCTGGATTAGCATGCCCTTGTTCTTTTCCTAATTTGTCAAATTTCACATAAATATGTTTTCAATTGTGATATAAGTATGTACAAATGATAATAATGCATCTCTATCTCCATACCTTGAATGGCAAAAGTTATTTATGCATAAGTATTGCATTTTAAATACTATATGAAGTGTAAATACTCTAACATAATTATATAGATTTTAAAGATATGGGACTGTTTATTTTCACATAAGTCAATAGATGTTTCTCTAGAACAAAATATTTCATTTAGTAAAGCTTTATAAATTGTATTAAAAGGAAGCAGGGAACATATATTTTTTAACATAGAACAGAAGTGACTTCATTCTTTTTTGACATCAGAGAAATGTTAAAAGTTGATTCCTACTATTTGTTGTACTTTTTTGTAGCACAATGTTAAATATCACAAGTTACCATGTGCAGAATATAAATTGTCATGTTGATAGATTAAACAATGATATACCATTTTTGTCTGTACACATTTCACCAGTTTATAGACAGTATTAACAGGTTTCTTTCTAAGACAACATGTTTTATTTCTACTGTGAAGACTTTGTTACACCTTATTTGCTACAAAGTTGTATACTCTCTGACAGATTCAAATCATTGCTGCTTTGACTCAGCATTTGCACCATAACATAATTGTGATATTCTTTCATGCTCCCCTCCAAGGGCTGTCAGTCACTTGAAGAAATTGTTGCTAATGAAGCTCTTGATTCAGTTTCCCTTAATGGTACAAATTTCTGTACCATGCTTTATATTAATTACCAAAACTCCTGCAGCCAGACCATGATATCTTTAACAGGAGATGCTGCAATAAAATGTTTAGGCTATAAAACTTGGGGACACAATTTTTCATTACAGCACAATGTGAGTGTGTACATGTGCACACATAGCTTTGTATGTTTGTTCTTTTTCCAAAGTCTTTCCCACTATTAAAAGTACTGTAGTCTGGTAGTGCCTCAAATGTTGGTAACTTTTAAATTTTAATTTACAACTTTTCCAGAATTTGTTTTTGTACTTTAAGGTTTCTCAATTAGATTGTTTCTAGTTGAGCTGTAATTTGAATGCATTATTCTCAGGGCTGTTTGTGCTTAGAGCTGAAGTTTTATTATTTAAAGCTAACTGCCTGAAAGTATATTGCAAACTATTCCCAAATTGTAACACTGTACTACATACATATAAAAAATCCTTAATATCCACATATTTAAACTACATGCTAGGTATTTAAGAAAAATGGAATATTAGTAGCAGTTTTACTGAAATCTTGCCATATTTTCCATTTTAGAACAGAATTGGGTGGTCTTATCTTAGAGCCCTAATCTTAGAAATATTTGATAGCATTCCTTTGGCATGGACCCCAAAGATGGTTTTAGAGCCAAACATTTATGTAGTGGTTCTCAAACATATTTAGGGATAATAGACTGAAAATTCATAATGCTCTTTTGGGTACCTTAAAATGTTTACATACTGAATTCTATAATATTGACTAGGAATACATTTCCTGTGAGAAAATATGGCTCTTAAGCAGTATAAGAGCAAAAATATAAGCATATTTCCATAAACAAGTAGGTTGTACTTATAGTTCTGATAGTTTCAAATTCTCCAATATTATCTAGACATATTTCATAGGTTTCATGCTTATTTTTTTCCCTGCTAGCATTCAGACAATAGGCAACAAAGATTTAAGAAAAATTTATAGTGAAAAATCCTAAAATTGAGAAAATTCAATCTATTAACTTTGATCTATTAAATTTTTTCCTCTGAATTGGGTATATGGCATCATTATTTGATTTTAGCAGGGAACATTTGGATTTAGTTTACAGAACACAGATGTTCTGTGGGAACATGGCTTAAAGTCACTTTATAATTTAATCTTTTTCTATTAAATAAACATCTGAACACCAACTTAACTACCAAGTGAGGTCAAGTGCCTGAAAAGTGCTGTATACATCTAATAAACATTTTTTTCTTTATGTGAAAGATGCATCTTAAAGCAATGCATACCAAGCTTTCACCTGCGAGAAAATACTTTTGCCAAACCTTGTCATTCACCACTAGATCCTTCTCTTTTCAACAGTTTGAAACCTATTTTACCATTAAAAAAAAAGAGATTATCTGATTTATTTGAAGTCCCTAAAACTATTTCCTGTTATTGGTAGAATTAGTTTTATCTTAGTTTAAGAATGCACTTTTTAAAAAACCCTGGACACTAAACTGTATTCAGCAATGTCTGAGCAGCTTGTCAAGTTAGTTGTGATCTTTCTTGAGAAAAATTCTTTATTGTGGTTAATATCTACTATGAGCACTCTTTTGCTTATTATGAATCATAATGAAAATTGCTAGTTCTATACTAATATAATGAAAATGACTAGTTCTGTAATCAATTTATGTACTTTTGTCCTCCTACCCCTAAACAAAATAGTTGAAACTGCATTATCTAATCAGTTGGCACTTTATTAGTAATACATTTTATTTGTATTAGATATAGAAGAACTCTTGCTTTTACTTGCAGAGACTCAAATGTTTTCGCCAAAACTTTAAAATTGTAAAATATGTAGTATGAATATTATAATTGTGTATTTTACATTTCAAAAATGGGTAAAATCCACTTGTGAAGTCTTTGGCTATACTAAAATATCCTTTAAAATGTAGATGGTAAACATCAGTTATAACATTTTGTTACCTTAAGATATATTTGTCTGTTAACTTTATCAGTTACATGAAATAAAATAAAGTTAATTAACAGCTTGCACTATTTTGTATATGTACATTCAAAAATGTTTTCTTACTAGAAAATTGTATTATATACCAGCTTTTGGGCTAAGAATGTTAATTTTTATATTTTAGTTCCAGGTTTAGGCACAATTTTTTTTACGTTCTTATTCTTAAAGTGACCTAAAAACAGTCACTTGGTTCAGTATTGAACAGAATTGAATAGGTTCAAGAACGTAAAAACACCTTCCCCTCTTCTTCCTATCCCTGTGGACCCTTCCAGAGGCACTTAATGCAAGAGAGGTTAATATTCTTCTCTCTCCTGACCTCCTGGGGTCTGAGGTGTTTCTTCCCTGTTAGCTGGGATTGCTCTTCTCTTTCCACAGTGACATAAGCGGTGTGGTGAGTCCCTGAAGCAATCTTTACCATTCTTTCATCCTCACTGTGTCTACTCCATACCACCTGAATAGATTTATCTTTCGGCGGCTCAGCAGTTTCTTCGTTCTATACACTGAAAAGTTCTAGAATATCTCTCCTGAACTGTGAGCCATGCCAGGGCTACAATGGCATTTGTTACCTCATATCCATGATCATTGTTGCTAATGTCTTTAACCTTCCAAACCCAGAAAACAAAGTTGCTGGAAAAGAAATACTAGATTAGTCTTTCAGCCCCCAAATCCCCTGCTTTCTTTTTCTTTTTCACCTTTTGCCACATGCAAATATTTGGAGCCCAGTTTCTCAGAGGTATACATGGGAGGTTTTAAAAAAAATAGTGAAAAAGGCTAATTATGTATTGTATTTTAAAACCTGTCTCCGT